CGAGCAGGGGCAGGGAGGGAGACGGCGAGGAGGAGAGGAGAGGGGAGAATGAGGAGGAGGAGAGGAGGGGAGAGGGGGAGGAGGAGGAGAGAGAGGAGGGAATGAGAGGGGAGGAGGAGGGAGTGCTGTGAGCGCGTGTGCTGCCCGCGCCAGTGCTGCCGGGAGTACCACCACTAGCCGGACTGCCATCAGTGCGTGCAGCAGCATCAGCAGGTCGACCTTTCTCAGGCGTGCAAGGATTTCCCTCATCACACAGACCTCCCGCCTCTCCCCCTCTCGCTTCTCCCCCTCGCGCCTCTCCCCCACCAGCCGTTCCTCCTCCCCCATCCCCCCTCCCCACCACCCACCCATCCCCCCTGCAGAGTCAAAAGCAAGTCCCCTCTGCTTCAATTGCCCCTCTGCTCTAGCTGCATGCTCCGACCTGCCAACGACCCAAGGAGAAAAGACGGATTCCAATGTAAATGAATATGCAGCGCGGTGCAGCGCGGTGAAGCACATGTATTGGGTGCAGCGCGGTGTAGTGCGGTGAAGCGTGAGGTGGCCATGTGCGTTGCAAGGTGCAAGCGACAGGAGCGAATGCGGTTACATGCGGTTACACATGCGTTGGGCTGCATCAGAGGGGAGGTGACGTGGCAGGGCGTCAGAGGGGAGGTGACGTGGCTGAGCGACGGCGTGCACGGCCCGGAGGACGGCCCAGAGGGGAGGTGACGTGGTGGGGAGCGCGCCGCATGGGCGTCAACTGTCTGAACGTGAGCAAGGGAGTGGGGGGGTGAGAATAATCCGAGCCCGTCGCACTGCGCCCATGCGCGCCGCACTGCGCTCATGCGCGTCGTACTGCGCCTTGAACTGTTCTTCTATCGACAGCCGACCCAACGCTATTGCGGTGACGACGCGAAGAGGTAACCAGCGGTGGCGAAATTTAACCGCCACGATTCGAAGGAGAGCGACCATTATGCGGTGAAGCTTTTGATCTGATGCCTGTGATCACGGCCAGAAACTATCCCAAAAGCAAGGAGAAACGAGATGACGGCGGGTTCATGTGATGAGTTGACGATCAGCAATGAGGTAACGCAATGTGAGCGGGAGCATCGTGAGCGAGCATCGTGAGTGGGAGCATCGTGAGCGAGCATCGTGAGTGGGAGCATCGTGAGCGAGCATCGTGAGTGGGAGCATCGTGAGCGAGCATCGTGAGTGGAAGCATCGTGAGCGAGCATCGTGAGTGGGAGCATCGTGAGCGAGCATCGTGAGTGGGAGCATTGTGAGCGAGCATCGTGAGTGGAAGCATCGTGAGCAAGAATCGTGAGTAGGAGCATCGTGAGTGAAAGCATCGTGAGTGGGAGCATCGTGAGCGGGGGCAATAAGGTAACGCAATGTGGTAGTGTGCTGTACTGTATGCTGTGCTGTGTGCTGTCTTGATTCTCTGTCTGTTTGGCAAAGCATTCAGCGAAAATAGTCGCCTTCGCCAGAATTCGTCGCAAGGGAAAATTGCTGGGTGTTACGAATATTTGCACATCGCATCACAAGTGTTACCACCTCGGAGGGACCACACCCCAGCCCACTGCCACAGATTTCTCAATCATTTCGTTCCTTTTCTCCAACCCGCCTTCTCCTTTCTCCGCATCTAGCGCCGCTCGCCGCACTACGCAAGCAAGACATCCCTTCCGCCTTGCCGTGTCGCCCACCACACCTCCTGTGTTCGCGTAGTTTCGCAAATTCGTGTCTTACGTTCCGTCGTTGGAATCGATAGCATTCGCCAGCAATGGCGGCAGCGGTTGCAGATCTGACGGTGACGGCGGAGAATGTGGGTGCGTCGGGCGAGTCGAAGGTGCTTCAGGCCATTCGGTATTCCCGAGGGAAGCTCGAGCTGCTGGATCAGGCGAGTCGTGCTGGCGACTCGTGTTGTCAGCTTTCAGTTGATTCTCGGTAAAAACATTATGCGCACGAAACTGTCGCACCCTTCTTGTAAAGGGTGCGTCTTACGTAAAGGTTAAGAATCACTACGGCTTTGATGTAATGAAGGCGCGCGTTCGTATACAGCATCGTCACACCGTCGGGTAACCAGACTAAGGCGCTGCTTCTTTTTATCCCTTCCCATTCCACGCCCCGCCCCGCGTGTTGCCTCCATTCCAGCGGAAGCTTCCTCACGAGTCTATCTACCTCAGCATCCCAACCATCGAAGCTGCCTGGTGGGTATCATGCCATCATGCCATCCTACACTGTGTATAAAACCCCACTCATCACGACATGCCGGAAATGCGACCAAGGCCGTGGTATCGTCTATGCCCCCTCCTGTGAATCACACCGCTTTCACCCCATTCCACCCCACCCCATCTCACTCCATCTTCCTAATCTCCTGAACACCCGTGCACCGCACTCCACCGCGCGGCCCCCATCACAACCCTCAGGCACGCCACGTGGTGGTGCGGGGGGTGCCGGCGATCGCGATCGCAGCAGCACAGCGTGTTCGATTCCGCGGGTGCCGCTGTGAAGCACATCACTGAACGCCTCGACCACCTCGCGTCCAGTCCAGGTGGGTGCTTCTACTCTCCATCATGGATCACACAAAATTTCGAGCACTTGCGCACCTGCTCTCACCCACCACAGTCACACCAGCCAACCACCGCCTGGGCTGCTCTCACGCACTCCGCTCACTCTCCATCTTCCTCTATCCCCCACACCATCCAGTCGCCCCACGGCAGTGAACCTATCAGACGAGGCAGAGAAGCTCAAGAGGGTGGCGGAGGAGGCAGCCAAGCCAAGGAGGAACCCACGCCCGAGGCGGATGTGCTGGTGGTAATGGTAACGGTGCAGTGGTGGTAATGGTAACGGTGCAGTGGTGGTAATGGTAATCGTGCAGTGGTGGTAATGGTAACGGTGCAGTGGTGGTAATGGTAACGGTGCAGTGGTGGTAATGGTAACGGTGCAGTGGTGGTAATGGTAACGGTGCAGTGGTGGTAATGGTAACGGTGCAGTGGTGGTAATGGTAACGGTGCAGTGGTGGTAATGGTAACGGTGCAGTGGTGGTAATGGTAACGGTGCAGTGGTGGTCATGGTAACGGAGCATGTCAGTGAGCTCCAGTCAGGGAGCTCCAGTCAGGGAGCTCCAGTCAGTGAGCTGCAGTCAGGGGGCACGTGGCATGGCATGTGCACGGCATCACTGTTCGCAGCACACAATCAGAGCGCTGTTCCATCCAGATCTGCTCTCCTCTCCCCCTTCCCTTTCAGCCGCGCTGCAGCAGCGAAGCAGACAGCATTCGCCTGCTGATGCCATGCATACCACATCTGCATCTTCTCCCCGCCTCGTCTTGATCCTCACCACCCACAGCTGCTCCCACACCGAACACTCCTCCCTCTGGTATCCCCCGTCCCTCTCAGGCCCGGCAAAGAAGACAGCATTCGCCTGCTGCTGCCCTACATAGCATCGGTGCGCTCCCTGCCAGCCTTCCACCACTACATGCACACGGAGCACCCCTCCCAATTCTCCCTTGTCTGCTCAATCCCCCTCCCTCCCAGGCCCGGCAACGCAAGGAAGCAGACAGCATTCGCCTGCTGCTGCCCTGCATTGCTTCAGTGCGCTCCCTGCCAGCCTTCCACCACTACATGCACACGGAGCACCGAGCATACAACGTGCAGCACCAGGAAGAGTTTGGGCGGGTGAAGAGTGCAGAGGAGGCAACGTTTGATCCCATCAAGCTGTGCTATTGAAGGGGTGTGGAGGGATGTGGGTGGGTGGTACGTGGTTGAACAGAGAGGCCGCAGAGAGTCTGCCAGCCTTCCACCATTACATGCACACGGAGCACACAGAGAGGGGGGAGTTTCAGCAGGCGAAGAGTGCAGAGGAGGCAACGTTTGATCCCATCAAGCTGTGCTATTGAAGACGTTTCAGCGGTGGCTGAGTTTTTCACCCTGATGTTCCAGTGCTATGCGGTACCATGCATCGGTGCAAGAACTTGTTTGAATGCTGAGCTATCAGTGTGTTTTTGCATATGCGGAGAAGTGGCTTAGTTGCATGTTACACTTGAGATCACAGGTTCAGATTTTCCCTGTTGTCCGAGCGAAGACTAAAGTAAACAAAAGGGAACAACTGAATGCTCCTTTTGCAAGTCATACCTCTATTGTCCATCCCATGCACCCACAATGAGGATTGATGTGTGACAGTTTGCCTGGCTCTCTCTGTGTGACAGTTTGCCTGGCTCTCTCTGTGTGACAGTTTGCCTGGCTCTCTCTGTGTGACAGTTTGCCTGGCTCTCTCTGTGTGACAGTTTGCCTGGCTCTCTCCGTGTGACAGTTTGCCTGGCTCTCTCCGTGTGACTGTTTGCCTGGCTCTCTCCGTGTGACAGTTTGCCTGGCTCTCTCCGTGTGACTGTTTGCCTGGCTCTCTCCGTGTGACTGTTTGCCTGGCTCTCTCCGTGTGACAGTTTGCCTGGCTCTCTCCGTGTGACTGTTTGCCTGGCTCTCTCCGTGTGACTGTTTGCCTGGCTCTCTCCGTGTGACAGTTTGCCTGGCTCTCTCCGTGTGACTGTTTGCCTGGCTCTCTCCGTGTGACTGTTTGCCTGGCTCTCTCCGTGTGACTGTTTGCCTGGCTCTCTCCGTGTGACTGTTTGCCTGGCTCTCTCCGTGTGACTGTTTGCCTGGCTCTCTCTGTATGACTGATTGCCTTTGCAGCATCTCATTTGACCAATCACCCTCTGTGACAGCTCATATTAGTAATCAATTTAGTAACTATCAATTTCAGAATTACATACCGTCTTGATGCTCCAGATATCAGTACCGTAGGGTAATTATAATCCAGTGAAATATCTCAGTATCAAGTATCCAACCAAAGGGTCCATGTTCACTAGAAGTTCCATCTACTGATCTCAGTATCAAATATTTACTGATCTAATTGAGAACTAGATATTGATAATCTGCTATACTAAATAGTGTACTATTGTACTACCCATGCACTGTAGGTGTGCATGGGGGGTTCCTCTTGGCCGCCAGGAGCAGAGCTCCTGACGTTACACCCAAGCACCGCGGTGAGGTGGGAACCATCGCTTGGGACCCTGTTGGATGGGGGGAAAGAGAGAAAAAACACAATGCATACTGCCCGGGGGCAGATGAAAATTATTCTCAAAGCAGGTGCTGCCCGTCCTTGCTGCCCAGTCGTGCTGCCTTACCAGCTGTGTAATTTTGCTCACTGCAGCTAGGCTGCTGTGAGGAACAAGAGAAATGGGTTTTGAGGCTTTGCCCAAAACCCAGAGGTTGCTCACTGCAGCGACTCTGCAGTGAGGAGCACACGAGTTTTGAGACGTCTCTCAAAGCTCAGGGACCAACGGAGTGACGGAACAGAAACAGAACGACAAGCTGCAGTGCACTGCAGTGAACAGAACAGAACCGCCACCGGCAGTTCACAGCTGTCTTGAGGCGCCTCAAGAACAGCACACAAGCACCCCACCCCCCACCCCTCACCCCTCACCCCTCACCCCTCACCCCTCCCTCAGCCCCATACTCAATGGTGAAAGCAGGCGCTGCTGGTGACAGATGCTGCTCCCTCCTCCGCACTCCAACCCGCCTCCATCCGCCGTGCCATACAGGAATGCAAGAGGGGGATTTACGGAAAGAAAGATTAGTTGCTGGTGAAGATGCGAGCGAAAATAAAGCGCAAAACACAAAACAGAATTTGAAACAAGTGACAAGGAAACGAAACGCATGTGAAAACAGAGCGGAAATGTTCCCCTCCCTGAGCCCCATACTCCCTTCTGAAAGAAGACGATGCTGGTGCTGCTGCTCCCTCTAACCCGCCTCCCTCCTCCCTCCCGTGTAGCTGCTGCTGTCGCGCCTCCCTCTCTGCAGCCGCCCCCACCAGCTCTCCACTCCGCCATGCTGCGCCCTGCCATACGGGAATGCAAAAGGGGGATCTAAGGAAAGAAAGATAAGTTGCTGGTGAAGATGCGAGCAAAAACAAAATGCAAAACACAAAATAGAATTTGAAACATGCGACAAGGAAATGAAAAGCATGCGAAAACAGAGCAGAAATTGGTCCCCTCCCTGAGCCCCGTACTCCCTTCTGAAAGAAGGCTGCTGGTGCTGCTGCTCCCTCCTCCGCACTCCAACCCGCCTCCTTCCTCCCTCCCGTGTAGCTGCTGCTGCCGCGCCTCCCGCTCTGCGGTACAGGAATGCAAGAGGGGGGAGCTAAGGGAAGAAAGATAAGTGGCTGGTGAAGAGAATGCAACAAACGAAACTGAAACTGAAACATGCGACAAGGAAATGAAAAGCTTGCGTAAACAAAGCGTAAAATGGTCCCCTCCCTGAGCCCCATACTCCCTTCTGAAAGAAGGCTGCTGGTGCTGCTGCTCCCTCCTCCTCCGCACTCCACCCGCCTCCCTCCTCCCTCCCGTGTAGCTGCTGCTGCCGCGCCTCCCGCTCTGCAGCCGCCCCCACCAGCTCTCCACTCCGCCATGCTGCTCCCTGCCATACGGGAATGCAAGAGGGGGGATCTAAAGAAAGAAAGATAAGTTGCTGGTGAAGATGCGAGCAAAAAGAAAATGCAAAAAACATAAGAGAAATCGAAACATGCGACAAGGAAAGAAACGAGTTGGTGGTGAGGGTGCAAGGGAAAAGATAATGCAAGAACACAAACGAAACACGCGACAAGGAAAAAACAAGAATACAAGAAACAAATAACTGTTCTCCTCGGCCCCACACCGCACTGCACTCCCTCGAACCCATACTCCCTTCTCATGGCAGGCGTTGCTGATGGCACCGCACTGCACTCCCTCGGACCCATACTCCCTTCTCAAGGCAGGCGCTGCTGATGGCACCGCACTGCACTCCCTCGGACCCATACTCCCTTCTCATGGCAGGCGTTGCTGATGGCACCGCACTGCACTCCCTCGGACCCATACTCCCTTCTCAAGGCAGGCGTTGCTGATGGCACCGCACTGCACTCCCTCGGACTCATACTCCCTTCTCATGGCAGGCGTTGCTGATGGCACCGCACTGCACTCCCTCGGACCCATACTCCCTTCTCATGGCAGGCGTTGCTGTTGGCACCGCACTGCACTCCCTCGGACCCATACTCCCTTCTCATGGCAGGCGTTGCTGATGGCACCGCACTGCACTCCCTCGGACCCATACCCCCTTCTCATGGCAGGCGTTGCTGATGGCACCGCACTGCACTCCCTCGGACCCATACCCCCTTCTCATGGCAGGCGTTGCTGATACTCCCTTTGAAAGGGGTATCAGCAACGAGTGCTGATCAGGAGTGCGTCAAAGGCCAAAAGAGGAGTTGACTGGGAAGTGTGAGCTGAAGTATGCTTAGGGTGAGTTGAGCAAGCGGTGGGACAAGCAGGAGGATGAGAACCAAAGAGTGGGGTTGCAGCCACCAATCTCAGAACGCATCCAACACACACTTACCGCGGCTCTGCTGGGCAAGAGGGAGAGTGAGAGGAGAGCAATGAGAGGGAGGTCCCACCCCCAATCAAAGTATCACCACTCAGACACACCTTTCTCCCAGCTTTTTACTCCCTTCCACATACGACAACATCTCCCTCCAAGTACCCCCTCCTTCAGCTTATCCGCCTCTCCTCCTCGCACCTCCACCTCACCCCAAGGGTGCAACGGAACGGAACAACGAGCTTCGCTCGCTCCATCCTTGCTCCATCCGCCTTCGCCTCGCGTGCCGCCAGCAAGCGGGTGGTCAGCAGGGCGGGTAGGAGGCACCCACATGCCAGTGCCTGCCGGCCGTGCGTCATCCCACCTCTCTCGCTCCTCTTCTTCCATCCGCCGCGCTTTGGGCCCGCCTGAGAGAGCGTCCACCCAAGAATTGCGCCCACAAGTTTCAATCCACCCACAAATTGCGCCCACAAGTTTCAATCCAACCACGAATTGCGCCCACAAGTTTCAATCCACCCACGGATTGCGCCTCGCCTCGCCTCGCCTCGCCTCGCCTCGCCTCGCCTCGCCTCGCCGCTCCTAGCCTCGCCTCACTTGGCCTTGCCTCGCCTTGCACTCACATTCAGAGGTCGTAGGAGTTGCACTCACATTCAGAGGTCGTAGGAGTTGCACGCAGATCCAGATGAGGCGGACGCAGGAGTTGCACTCACATTTAGAGGAGAAGGACGTAGGAGTTGCACTCACATTTAGAGGAGGATGTAGGAGTTGCACTCACATTTAGAGGAGAAGGACGTAGGAGTTGCACTCACATTCAGAGGAGAAGGACGTAGGAGTTGCACTCACATTCAGAGGTCGTAGGACTTGCACCCACATTCAGAGGAGGCGGACGTAGGAGTTGCGTTCGCAACAATCGTCGACAGAAACATCAGAGACAAGTCGGCACACCTGCTGCTGATGCACTCACATTCAGAGAAGGTGTTGGTGCCGCCTCTGTCAAGAGCGTCGGTGATAGATCGAGAGAGAGTGAAGAGGCAAGAGTAAGGAAGCTCAAAGACAAACGACAAGGGCAGCGAGATAGATCGAGAGAGGGAGAGAGTGAGGAGGCAAGGGTAAGGAAGCTCAATTGGTTTTGTTGTTGCCGGCAGCTGATTGTTGACGCGCGTCCACTGCAGGCCACCGCTGCACCGCCTTCACCGCTGAGTCAGCCATGCGCCCTCGTCATCCTCCTCACTCCAGGCGCCTCCTCGCCGCGCTCCAGGCGCCTCCTCGCCTCGCTCCATCCGCTTGCATTGCAGCGTCACCGTCGCCCTCGCAAGCGGGTGGTCAGCAGGGCGGGAAGGGCCGGCCGTGCGTCATCCCACCACGCTCGCCCTCCCCTTGCATGCGCGCTGCCCTTCCAAAGAGCCAAGAGAGCACCCTAGGGAGTCGCTGCTGCCGTCCTCTGCAGGCGCCTCTGCTCCTCCCGAGTGAAGAACCCATGGTTGCTGAAAAACAGGGGGAGGGAACACCCAGACAGATGCACGAAGTCAGTAAACAGAACTGCGGAATGAAAAATAAAGCAAAACAAACACAAGGAACGAAATGCGGAATTGAAAGCGAAAAAACGATGTGCGGAATTGAGAGCGGAGAACAACACGTGGAAACGAGGTGGTGGGATGGATGCACGTCCATGATACGCCGGCTGCAGCTAGCAGAGGGAGGAGCTATGCTACCCAAAACCCAAACTCTTTGCTACCCAACCCAAAATCTATGCTACCCAAAACCCGCGGAGGACATCTACTAGGCTGCAGCCGAACGTATCAGAGGGACGTGCATAAACGCGAAATGCAGGACGATGGAGTGAAGAACGAGGTGCGGAAAACACGGAATGACGAAACGAAACGAATGGAGGGTGACGAGAAGGGAAGGCGAGGAGAAAGACACTTCCCATTTGCTTTGCTGGCCACGAGATGCCAGTGTTGCCTTGCTGCTCCACGAGCGGGTGGTCAGCAGGGCGGGTAGAGGCAGCCACACGCCAGTGGCTGCCGGCCGTGCGTCATCCCCACCGCGCCCGTCCACCTCAGCAGTGCCAGGATCAGCCAGCAGCACTCCAGCAGCGCCAGGATCAGCCAGCAGACACGTTCTGTTTCGCCATTCACCACGTCAGCGCCGCGCGGACGGACGCGCGCGGTACGTCGCATGGCGCTCGTCGGATATCGTCGCATGCGGCATGGCGTCAGCATCCGCGCAACATCGCACGCCAATCGTCGCACGCTGTAAATCGCCATCTTCCGCACACCGTCGCACGCGGGTCTTCCGCACACGATCGCACACGGGACATCGCCAGCATCTGCGCCCAGTCGCATGCAGTATGCGCCAGCATCCGCACAACGTCGCACGCGGAAGGTCGCACGCAGTTTGTCGCCGACTTCCGCACACGTAGCACGCGGTACGTCGCCATCATCCGCACACAGTCGCGCGTGGTAAATCGTACGGCCTCGCAGTCGCCATCTTCCGCACACGGACGCGCGCGGTACGTCGCATGTCGTTCGTCGCACATCGTCGCATGCATCCTCACAGAGCGCCGGTACGCGGAACTTCGCACGCGGTAAGTCGCCATCATCCGCACACCGTTGCACGGCGGGGAACGTCGCAAGCGGTACGTCGCATGCCGTTTGTCGCACATCGTCGCGTCATGTCGCCCAGCATCCGCACGGCGCCGCATGCGGAACGTCGCACGCGTTAAGTCGCCATCTTCCGCACACCGTATGCGGTTGGCCGCCGTCTTCCGCACACGGTCAATCGCGTGAAGTCGAAATTGTCCACACACCGTCGCACAGGGAACGTCGCACGCGGTTCGTCGCCATCTTCCGCACATCGTCGCATGCAGTATTTCGCCAGCATCCGCACAACGTCGCACGCGGAAGGTCGCACGCAGTGGGTCGCCGCCTTCCGCATGGTTGCGCGTAATTCGTAACTCGCCACTTGCCGCTACACGATCGCCGCACGTTTCCAGCCGCTCACTGTCGTCGCTAACCGTTCGCCGTTCGACATTGGCTAGTCGTTTGCCGCACGGTGCTGCTTCACGTATCATAATGCCTTGACTTCACGTTCGGCTTTAGGCGATCATAGTAGCAGCCATCGGCGAGTAGTTGGATGTACGACTATATCGGAACGACGCTTCAACGAAACGGAAGCGACATACGCTTCAACTAGAGCGGTGGAAAACCTTATCAGGAAAGACCCGCCAGGAATCATGTTGATACGGTAGCTGAAAACTATCGGTTAATCATCAGTTTACAAGAATCTAGATACTGAAACTCAACGTGGTAGTGCTCGCTGAAAACTAATGGTGGAATTGCCTTAGCGGTTACGAATATTAACTACCGCGGTTATAAGCTAAGAGGCAAGCAGTTAACATCAGCCTATCAGAAAGCTGTATAATGACACGAGTCTACCAGTTCTCCCACTGGAACAGGCTTATCTAGATAAGCTACTACTGTCATGAATACTTTAAGAGTACGATCTAATCGTAGTAAGCTACATCTCTGAGAGATTTCGACAGCAGCCATGGCGAGCTGATAAACCTATGGAAGCAAGCACGAGCTAACGCTGAGTAGAGAGAATAAGTGACGTGAATGAAGAAACTGGAGAATTCGGCAGAGGTGACTGGAATGGCCTTGGGAATGTCGCCGGGTTGACTTGGTCTCTGGGAGGCTGCATGCACTTGCTGGAGGGAGGCGACGACAGGCGAGAGGGAGTCGCCAAATCAGAGGCTTCCGCTGGTCTCCGCCCGCCGCACAGGTCACGGCAAAGGTCACGGCAAAGCTTTCGCGAGCAAATGACAAAAACGTAACTGAGGCTATCGGGGTCAGACGACTATCGCCACCGGGATGGGAGTCCAAAGTAGCCGCTAAACTGCGCTGGGCCCGACGAAGCGCGGCTTTTTGAAAATTGCAGCAGGTGTGCCAGAAAAGGTTCCGCCGTAATACGGAATCTCCGCAAGGGATCATCTCCGCAAGTTATCCATCTACAGCACTGTATTATCATGCACAGCCATCTACAGTGTAGACTCCTTTCAGCAAAATAAATATATATTTTTTCACATGGGACTGTAACAAGATTGTAACAATATATCTGCGTTTGTAGCAAGAGATTTGCATCTTATCAGCGATCGCAGCAAAAGAGTAGCATCGCAAGGGAGCAAGACGCGCCCTACCTTGATGCGACCACTCTCATCATTTGTTGGACTGAATATTCATGAGCTCCACATTTCACAGCCACCTATCCGGCCAGGCACAACCAGGCCAAACATTCGTGTAGCAGTTCACATATTTGTCAACCGCTGTATCATCCTGCACCGTGCACCCTGCACCCTGCACCCTGCACCCTGTCCCCTGCACCCTGCCCCCTGCCTTCTGCCCCCTGCACTCTGCACCCAGCACCCTGCCCTCAGCACAGCACCGCACATCCCATGAGTGGCACAAGGTGTGCCTCCCAGCACCACAGCCTGCAATGCAGCCACCATCATCACCATTACCATCACCACCACCACAATCACCACCAACGCAGGAACTGCTTTCTTGAGTGCCCCTGGCAGCACATGAGGAGCGTGCACAATCTCCACCTCAACGCACCCCTCTGTGACCACCTCCGGCAGATGGGAACTCGTATTCACGGTCAGAGCCAGGGCCAGCAGGGCAGGGAGCAGAGCAGCGAGGAGAGCGAGTGCAGGTGGCGCGAGCGGTACGCGCGGTACAGCATGAGCGGCGTGCGCGGGGGCAGCGGGGGCGGCGCGCGTTGCCAGCGCTGCGAGGTGGGATCGCGAGTGAAGACCCGGGGAGCACCGCTGGGGAAGAGCGTGTCTGTGTCTGGCGACTGGGCTAGCAGCCGGTAGCAGCTGAAGGGGAGGGCGGGGGGGAGAGGGGGAGAGGAGCAGAAGGGGAGGTTGAGAGGAAGTAAAGGGGCAGGGGCGGTGGCGCGCGCTGCCAGCGCTGGGAGATGGGATCGCGCGTGAAGACGCGGGGGGCACCGCTGGGGAAGAGCGTGTCTGTGTCTGGCGACTGGGCTAGCAGGCGGTAGCAGCTGCAGGGATGGGCAGGGGGAACGGGAGGGGGTGAAACGGAGGTGAAGGAATGGCAGAGGGCACGGGAGGTGGGGTCGTGGGTGAAGACCCGGGGAGCTCCACTAGGGAAGAGCGTGTCACTGTCTGGTGACTGGGCTAGCAGCCGGTAGCAGCTGCAGGGGAGGGCAGGGGAGGGGCAGAAGGGGAGGGAACGGAAAGGAGAGGTCATGGGTTAAAAAGGTGCCACAGAAATAGGAGGGGTCGCGGGTGAAGACCCGAGGGGCTCCGCTGGGGAAGAGCGTGTCTGTGTCTGGCGACTGGGCTAGCAGGCGGTAGCAGCTGCAGGGATGGGCAGGGGGAAAAGGCAGACGTGGAGGGGGAGGAGGGAAGGCGTAGCGGGAGGTTGGTGGGGAGGGTCAGGAGCAGCGGGAGGGGGGTGGGAATGGGTAATGTGAAGGAGGTGAAGGAATGGCATTGAACAGAGATGTTTACTCGCTGCAATGACATGCCCTAGTGTGCGCATCACCATGGCATAGCATGCGTGCAACAGCAAGCCTTCACGTGGGGATAGAGGGAGGGATCAGCAACAAGCAGCCCTCACCTGCGGATGAAGGGCAGGAAGTCGGGTCCCTCGGCGAGGGGCGACGTGGAGTTGGCGTGCAGCAGCTCGTGATCCGTCATGCTCAGCCGCTGCCGCGCTAGTGCTGCCGCGTCCATCAGCCTAACGAGGGAAAAGTGGAGACGAGGAGAAGGATGGAGAGACAAGATGCTTGGCTGGCATGCAAAGAATCAAGGGAGGGCTGCTGAGCTGACATTCGACATGCTGGAGCAGACAAAGCAGCAGGATGAGACGAAGTGTCAGGTTGTGTTGCCTGTACCTGGTGGGCGGCAGCACGAATCGGTCTATCTGAGTGTCGTAGAAGCGGGTGAGGCGGCCTTGGGGACAGAGAGGGCCGCACAGAGCGGTGCAGAGCGGTGCCAGCGCGGTGGGGGGAAGGGTGGAGAGCAGAGAGGGAGAGGATGCGAGTGGGGGCAGGGAGGGAGACGGCGAAGAGGAAAGGAGGGGGGAGAATGAGGAGGAGGAGAGGAGAGGAGAGGGAGAGGAGGAGGAGAGAGAGGAGGGAATGAGAGGGGAGGAAGAGGGAGTGCTGTGAGCGCGTGTGCTGCCCGCGCCAGTGCTGCCAGGAGTACCACCGCTAGCCGGACTGCCACCAATGCCAGCAGCATCAGCTGGCCGCCCTTTCTCAGGCGTGCAAGGATTTCCCTCATTACACAGCCCCTCCCGCCTCTCCCCCTCGCGCCCCTCCGCCACCAACCGCTCCTCCTCCCCCGACACCCCTCCCCACCACCCACCCGCCTCCCCTTCCGCGTCCCCCTTCCCCTCCTCCTCCCCCTCGCCCCCTTCCCCAAAGAAGAGCAGCACGGAGCGCAGCACAGCATCAGGCCCGCGCTCCTCTGGGGTGAACACGCGCGGGGAAGCCTCCCCAGACGCCACGTGGACCGCCAGTCCGCGCGTGCGGGGGACAGGGGCGCGGCGGGAGGGGTCCCACGTGGTGTTGAGGGGCAGCAGCGCGAGCGTGCAGAGGTGGAAGGGGCGCGGGAGCGCGTGCAGCGCGGTCACCAGCGCGCAGGCTACGGGGAGGGACGTGCCCGCGGAGAGAGGGGGGCCGAAGGGGGCGTTGTCTGGGCGCGAGAGTGAGTAATACAGGTCGTTGGGGGTGGCGGTGGGAAGCGGAGGAAGCAGAGAAGACGGAGGAAGGTGCAGTGGTGTGTGGTGACGGTCTGGGGTGCCATCCAGGTTTAAGGGATGCATGGGTGCTGTGGCTTGAGACGGCGATGCACTGCCAACGGCACCTCCTGCTCCTAATCTTGCTCTCTCTTCTGCTCCTGCTCCTGCGCGCATGCCCCTGTCGCCCCCGCCACTGGCTGCAGGGCTAGTGGCTCGCCTGCGCTTGCAGCCTGACTGGCGCCCACTGCTGCTCCTCTCCAAGTAACCCTGCTGCTGCTGCTGCTGCTGCTGCTGCTGCTGCTGCCGCATGCGCTCTTGCTCCTGTCGTTCCTGCTCCTCCTCCCACGCGGCGAGGATGCTCTCCGCGTGCCCCGGGTCGTCGTCAAACGCGCCCACCAGGTGCAGCTGCGGGGGGGCAGGAGGGCACGGGGGACGGGGGGAATGCTGTGAATGCTGCTCTTGCCGCTCCTGCCTCTCCTGCTGCTCCTCCCACGCGGCGAGGATGCTCTCCGCGTGCCCTGGGTCGTCGTCAAACGCGCCCATCAGGTGCAGCTGTAAGGGGGAAGGGGTACAGAGGGGCACGGCCGGACGGGCAGAGGAGGGCAGGACGGGGAGAGGAAATGAGAGGCAGGGAGAAGCGGGGATAGGACGGTAGGGAGGAGAGGGAGAGAGGGGAGGCAGTGCAGAGGCATGGCAGTGGATCGCAAACGAGCGAGGCTAAAGCGCGGCAGAGGGAAGAGGCCCAGTGGAGGGAAGCTACTGGTAATGGCTTTGCACGCGCAGCACGCATGTCAGTCCGCACAGAGGAGCATGCGCCTGCGGCACCATGCCATACCTGTGCGCCACACCCACACGCGCGTCATACCTGCAGGGGAGTCGGATCGTGCGGGGCGAGGCGCAGCGAGGCGAGCATGGCGGCGAGCGCGCGCAGGGCGCAGAGCGACGCGTCCACGTGCGCGAGCGCCGTGCGCCCCGTGCGCGGATGGCGCAGCGCCACGGCCACACACGTGGTCATCTCGTCCGTGCCTATCACGTCAACCAGGTCCACGTCAGCAGTTGCCACCTCAGCTTGCGCCACGTACACCAGCCGCTCCGGCCGTCCCTGCTGCGCCTCACCCCCGTCCGCCTTCCTTGCGCCCTCTTTCGCGCAATCTTCCGCCCCACCGCCGCCCTCCAGTTGCGCGCGCGCCCCCTCCTCCCGGCCGTGCGTGCGCGCGCCCTCCCCCTCCCCCTGCCACTGGCGATGGAACAAGTCGCCCTCGCGCCCATTCCATGGCGCTTCCCCCGCTGCTGCTGCCGCTACTGCTTCCCCCGCTGCTGCTGCCGCTACTGCTTCTCCTGCTGCGCCTGCCGCACCTGCTCCATCACAGCCGTCAGCAGTGCTACCAGCAGCCCCGCTACCAGCAGCCCCGCTACCAACAGCATATCCACCAGCTATCCCCGCTGCAGCATCACGCGCTTTAAGCACACTCGCACTCAAACTGCGCCATATCGCGCGGGGCAGCGCACCACTGCCAGCATCACACGTGTCAGCAGCAGATTCCTCGCCACGTGGCGCTCCGAGAGAGCGGCTCCCCACGCCGCCCAGCATGTCCTGCTGCCGGCGCATCCACTCGCCCCCTCCGCCCTCCCGCCCTCGGCACATCGAAACCCCGCTACCAGCATCGGCGCCGCTAATGCCGCCGCCACACGCGGCGCTGATACCGCCGTCACAGTCAGTCGCGTTTCGCAGCTCCCCCATCCCCCCCTCTTCCGCGCCTCCTTGCGCCTCCGCGCATCTCAACGAACACGCGTTGGATTCCTCTGCGCGCGCGGCAGCCAGGCTGGAAGAGCGTGATTCCCCGGGGTTTGCGCCAAGATGCGCGGAAGGAGTCGCGGCGGAGGGAATAGTTGCCGGTGGGGGGCTGCCAGTTGATTGCGTTGCCAGCTGGCCGGCAGCATGACTGTCGGACAAACGATCGTCGCTGCCGCATGCCGGCCGCTCGTTTTCATCTCTTTCCTCGTGCTTCGGTCGGCATGGACCAGGGTCAGGACCGGCTTCCGAGCCTGATCGGCTGGTTCGGCGAAAGAACTCCTCCGAGCCGGCGACGAGGCTCGGGTGCGTGAGTAGGTAACGGAGCAGCGCCGCGCCCTGCGTGGTGCGGGATTCGCGCGAACGGCGGAGGGCGGGGTTGGGGGGAGTGGGGGCGGGGGGGGGGGGGAGGGTAGGGCGGGAAAAGAGAGGGTACGGGGAGGGTGGGAGATTGAATGGGGTTGAAGGCGGGAGGAGACGACGGATACGGGCGCACTGACGGAGCCGCGGCGAGTGTTTGAGGCTCACTGCAGCGAGCAAGACGGAATGAACGGCTTGAGCCGTGCAGTGGAGCGCGACGCGCGCGCAGCGACCGACAAAAGTGGGACTAGAGCGGCACACGAGCCAAATACAAGAAAAGAGCGGAAGAAGGTTCAGGTGCCGATGCCATCTTAGTGACTTAGACGCGCTCCCGCAGGGTTCACGTACCGCGAGATTGCGCGGAACTGGCTGGTTGTCTATAATCAGCATTGCAGCGCGTCGTGTGCGTCCGCGACGCCAAGCTGGGTACTATTTGCGCGCCTCGCACGCGCTTGTAATCTACGCTACGGTCCTATGGCGTCACGACGGTGGTGCACACTCAGAACTTGTAGGAAACGCAAGAGCTTGAAGCGTATTCTATCCACTACCAAACCATGCTGCTCCGTCGGACGTTACGACAACGGAGAGGGACAGAGCTAGACTAGGATTGCACGATGCACCTGCGCAAGGAAACTTGATTCTATGAATGGGGGAGACAGTAGACATTGGAGCCAGGTGCACCACGGATGACAAGGCCTGAAAGGAAAGCAACCGTCAGCCCAACACATTCAGGAGCACAGTGGTGTGAGAGGAAAGGAAACTAAGATAGGGTGAGGAAAGCGTGGACGGTATGTTTGCAAAGAGAGGTTTGCTGACCGGTGCAACGAGGTGAGTGTGAGGGCTAAGCGAGAGGGAAGAAGCTGGTGGGCGTGGGGCTGGCTGGGCGACGAGAGTTGGGTTTCAGGAAGAGGGGGATTTGCCGTGTGATTGGCTGGCGACAGCGCGTCGAGTCAATGTGGTTTCGGTTTCTCGCAGGTAGGACCAAACGAAGGGTACTGCTGGCGGGCGGTACGCGGTAGGGGAGGGGCGATTTGGATACCAGCGCTGCAGGCGACTGCTGCGATTTGCTCACTGTGTATGTACAGTGATCACCTGTGAACTTGTCGCGGAAGCCAGGGTGAACGACGCGAGCAAAATCGCACGGAGTCGTAGAGAGGAAGCGGGGACGGTCGCACTTGCAACTTGCGACCATGCGAACTGTACGCGATTTCGGTGTTGTGTTGGCAAACCTGGCTGGCTCTTCACCTGCGCCCTGACTACGACTCTATTCGTCATTGTCACAGCGCGAATAGGCCAGCCAATAGAAACCTAAGCATTCGGTACGAGCGGTGTGATGTTCGGCCGACGTGCAAAGGACCACTCAAAATTCGTCGACACCTGTTATAATGGCGAAAGGGCAGCACAGTCACCCCTGGCGACCGAGAGTCCTATCATTACTCACCTGTTTACAGTAAAACAAGACCAGCCACATATTCTATACTAGAAAATCAGACGATACATGGAGTAATGATATAGCATGATATATTAAATCTAACATTAACTATATGTAGAAAGTATAAAAAAATCTGTAGTAATTTCTGGAAAATCCTTATGTCTGTACATTTGTGGTCACATACCGTATTACTTCATTATCTCGCGTTCAATAAATAGATGTTGAGGAGATAGATGGGTGTCCTACATCGGAGCTGTCCCATAGCGAGCGTACACCCTGAATTCGCCTAGCATGCATGCCATGTGCGAACCAATCACGAGGGCACTGGGTAGCAGATGGCGCTGTTCTGTAGGCGTTATTGCCTCCGCATTAAATGTACGGAACGTGTCCTTCCTTGTAGCTTCTGGCCGCACCAAAACGTCTAGGCCCAGTTCGGCAGGCGTTAAAAAAGGCGTTAATATCAGGCTCGGGGACCGGCTACAGTGAAACGATAAGCGAGCGATCGGTTATCAAGGTTCGAGATAGGCGGATTGATGTCGAGCCTGAGCGCGTTAAAATGCCTGCCGAACAGCCCTTTTAACGCCTGCGTTTTTAGCAATACGATGGTTCCAGGAAACCGTTTCCCCTAGCAAAGTGGCGCACCACTGATCCGCTGCATGGTGCATGGCCGAGAGCTTACACCATGCGAGGGATCAGTGATGCGGCCAATCATATGCGAGTGGTCGAATGGACTGGCCAATCATATGATTGTTCGAAGGTGCTATTCACCTTCAACCTGACTTCCTCGAATTTCATACCCCTTCCGCGCCATCACGTTTAACCCCCATAATGCCAGCCGAACAGGGCTGCCCGTTTTTTCGAAGGTGCACTGCAAGCGGGGCCTGACTTCGAGGATCTTTCGAGCCGGCGTTTTTTCGAGGCCGGTTAAAAATGCTCAAACGCCCTTAACGCCAGCCGAACTGGGCCCTAATCTCTCAATTTGCTGGGGTGTGTTGCCACGAAGCTCGCTCAAACTCTCGAATCTCACAAATTGCTGCCCTGCATAACTTGTGCGCTGGCTGATGCTAGCTCTCGAGGCCGAATTGGCAGCGCACAAGTTATGCGGACATTTGCCTGGAGATGCAACACCGTGGAACCTTCACCCCGTTAAATTTGTGTGCCCCAAAAGTGGCGTTCTCCAGGCTGAAGCGTAAAATTTGGCGCAAAAAGGTTTGGCAGGACCGCGCTTATCACCAAACCTTGATAGGCAGAAGCGCGCTTATCGGGGAAGATTCTGCGGACCCAGTTTCTGGAGCCGAACCTCAGGTTTGCTTTCTTCCCGACCATGGGAGGGGCAACACTTACCAGACCCAAACCTCTCTGGTTACCATGTGTCACTCGCACAACGTACTGAGGTCGTAGGCAGCACAGGTTTGGATCGCTCGGGTCTGGGCAACCCAACCTGGGGGACTTTTGCCCCGAGTGTGCACACCTTTCTGAAAGTTGTAATTCAGGTCGACAAACTTTGCATAGTTCCTAGCGGACTGGTAGTGACGCCCCCTCCCTGCAGCGTCTGCGCCGCATGCACTCCCGGCTCCTGGTCACTGGCCTCCCTGAGACCCTGCCCCCCCTCCCGCGCTCACTTGCGCCGCCGTGCCTTCCTTGCGTCGAGGGGCGGCAGCGCGCCGCTCCTCACTCCTCCGAGTTTCCTCCGACAACTGCTCCTCTGCAGACTCTTCACATGGACGTGTGGGGCCCGGCCCCCGTCGGTGGAACGAACCAGGAGCGCTACTTCCTGCTGGTGGTTGACGACTACACACGCTACACCACAGTCTTCCCCTTGCGACGCAAGGCGGATGTCAGTGGTGTCTTGGTCCCCTAGATCCGTGCTACTCGTCACCAGCTGCGCGAGCGGTTTCGGCGGGACTTTCCAGTCCTGCGTCTGCACTCTGACAGGGGTGGTGAGTTCTCCTCTGGCGTCCTTGAGACGTTCTGCCAGGATGAGGGCATCGCCCAGTCGTTCACGCTTCCGGCCTCTCCGCAGCAAAATGGGATCGCTGAGCGTTGCATTGGCCTGACGCCCATAGCTTAGAAGCTACACACCTCACATGTCTCCACCTGTGATCGCTTTTCCGCGAAATTTGCTTCCACCAT